GTTCCTTTCACTCCTTGATTTGGCTGTATGATTTGCTTTGGCTGATAGACCAAAGCAGAGGTCATAGTATGCTGGCTGCAAGTCTTACGTGCTCTTATGGAATTTTGTTTGCTCTCTTCAACCACTACCACAGCCAAAGAGAAACATTCCTGGGTTATCCTGCTATGCCAGGAGAAGGGTAAGAGACCATGAAGCCAAACTGAAGTACCCCAGATGAGCTCAGTCTAGATCAGCCAATCCCCAGACACACGAGAAGGCCCAGCCAAGATCAGCCAACTTACGAATCTATGAGAACAAGTTATTATTGATAAGCTACCAAATTTTCAAGTGGTTTGTTCTACGATAACATTGTGGAAAGAGCCAACTGATACAGACACATATAAGGAGGGATATTCACTCCAAATTGGGTATTTTGTTAGTGTTTTCAAAGAATCAGCGTTAAGTGTTTTGATCTTTATGTCATTCATTTGTTTCCGTTTAATTTTTTTCTGCTCTTAGTGTTTATTTCATTTTTATTCTTTGTATTGTCCATATTTTTTCTAGCTTCTTAATTGAATGCTTAGCTTACTTATGTTTCATATTTTTTTTTATTCTCTAGTAAATACATGTAAGTCTACATGTTCACTCTAAGTACCACTTTGGCTGCACCCCACAAGTTTCATTATGTGTCACTTTCAGACTTGGCCCTTAAAACCCTCTGATGAGTGATCCCCCATAGTTTTTGCCCCTCTGCCTACTCAAATGGAGAAGATCTAGGGGAGCAACAGGTCTACAGGATGAAAGAATCTTGGGTCCTGCAGTCACTGTGTGGAGACTAGCTGCCTAGGAAAGTTCCCTAACCAGGACACATGCGTTGGACTTTTGTGTGAGCCAAAGATATACTTTTATTGTTTTTTATTGTATTTTTATTGTGTTTTCTGAGATAAACCACTGAAAGTTGGGGGTTGTTTATTATAGCATTTTGCCTACCTAACTAATATGGGATAAACTTATTCAGTCTTTGTATGAAAATATTTTCATTTTACCCTCACACTTTAACTAGATGTTAGAGTTCCAGTTTTACAGTTCACTATCTAAGGTGATTTATACAAGCAAGAGGTCAAAAGGAAATGGGTCCATGAAAATATATATAGTCCAGGAATTTGCTGGCTTTTGAGTAGGGATTTAATTTCTACAGGCTTTGCAATTAAAGATTCAAAGCCATTTTACCCAGATCACACTGGGTAAAAGTGTGATCACACTGGGTTTTCTTCCGAACTCTTCTACCCAGATCACACTGGGTTTTCTTCCACTCTTGGTAGACATAATTCCATGTCTTCTGTGTCAGTCTCATGAGATGCGAGGGTCTGAACAAAATCTGCCAACCTGTCCCTGGAGCTTCCCAGACACTGGCAAGTGACTGCAACTTTCATCTTTAGCCCCTGTCCTATAGGCATGATCTAATTTGTTTAGGAGTGACAGATAGATGGCCAAGTTATTTCTTGCACACCTATTTTTTTGCAGAAAAATAAGAGAATTTGGAAAATGAAATAGATTTTGTTCCTAACAGCTAGTGGCTTAATTTTTTGATTCAGAGACCACCAGAGTAAATTCAGTATTTTAAATTTTGATGTAAGAAATGTAAGATTACAATATGTTTCTCAACTGGGAGAGGGAACATAAGAGAGCCACAAGGGTGGGATTGCTAAGTGGGAATGTGCGTGGTTTGAAGAAAAACAACTGTTAATTTGAGAACCACTAATATTTACAGAAAGAGTGATGGTATAATCAAGAGATTGTGGATTGTGGTTCCAGCTCTGCCACTTACTCCCCTAACTAAGTCACTTGGTCTCAATAAAATAGGAGGGCTGCACTTGATGGTCACTCAGATTACAATTGAGTCTAAAAATTTTCGAATGTTCTATCAATAATGTTCTGAACAGCAAGGGCAGGTCAGATTGATCTAGATAAGGAAACTCTTTTATCCTTTAAATAGAAACAAAAATATTTCAGAAAAGAAAATAATATTTGATTTGGGCCTTGAGATTCACAAATTAAATAATATAGAATTTTGTTGGTTGAATAAAATTGGTGAACTGGATCCGTTTTTTTGTTTTTTTTTTTGTTTTAGAGACAGGGTCTCACTCTATCACCATACCATATACCATGGTGTTTTTGAGATTCTTGCCAACAGCTTCATAAATTCTACTTAGGATGTTGTTTTCTCTTCCTGATCTCTGTGTGGGCAGAAAAAAAGATAGCAGTGCTTAAGTAATAAGTGATGATGCTCATCTTTTACTTTTTCTTATGTTCATTTCTATAGTTTCTACCGCAATTATGTTTCTTTACTGAGGATGGCTAAAAATGTACCTGCAGCTACAGCTTGTAAATGCAAGATAAATGCTTGATTAGCTGCAATTACGGGTTCCTGAAAATAAATACCAGGTGACAGTTCGCACTACTCATCAAAGAGCATTAACAGAGGTGATAGGGGGCATACTTTTTTCCTTTTTAAAAAAACGACCAAATGAAGAAAAGTCATTAATAATGCTACCACTTAGAGATAACAACCTTTAGTAGATTGCATCGTTAATAAAATGTCTCCCAATCTTTTTTCTTGGTAGGTTCTGGCATTTCTCTCGGAGCCTCTCTTCCACACAGAGGTCTGAGGGCTCAGGCTCCAAGCCACAGCAGTAGCGATCCAAGTGACCCATCCATCGTGGACCTGCGGAGACAACCAGCCTATCAGGGAGTGTGGCCTGGCACCTGCCCCCACCACGCCCCACATTTAGGCCACGTGACCTACCACTCCTCGTATGACACACCAGGCTCTAAGAGCTGGTCAGCTCTGCCTCCGGCCTCCAGCCAGCAACGGGGCTTCTCTGCTCGGCCCCTCTGGCCAGCTCTGCACGCCAGGAGCCGTCTGCCAGACCTCGGGCCAGCGTGGATTCCCGCCCGTGCCACTGCCTACCCTGCACTGCTGCTCCTGATCGCTGGCCTGGCGCTGACAGGCCACACAGTGCTGGCCATCCGTCCCTCTACCCAGGGAGCCCTGCACAGGGCTCCACTTTTCTCCTTTCAGCAGTAAATAATACATCAGGGAGCCCTGCCTTTTTCCGAGGTGCGAGTCCTTTCATGAGCCACAGGAGGCTGCCTTGGGTGCCCCAGGGAATTCTCCCCTCTCCCTGCCCCACATTGCAAGAAATTTGCGGAGAGTAGCACGAGTGCGGGTGGGGAATGGAAGGCGCCTTATCAAGGTCCTCCCCCCGCACCCTCAAGAGCAGTAGTAAAGCCGACCGCCCCCAGTTCTGGGGCAGAAATGAAAGCCGCCACCGCCCCATGCAACTTTCCGGGCACGACTCCAGCCCCGTGAGGTCGCCCAGGCTCCGCGAGTCCATGGCGGGTGCGCGCTGCTCGAGGCCACCTGTCCGGTGGCCGCCCCAACCGCCAGCCGCTCGCGCGCGCCCCCCGCCCCTCCCCCACCCCGGCAGTTCCTACCTGTCCTCCCCGGCGGCCGGCTCCCCGGCGGGCGCGCTCAGCGGGCTCCCAGACTCATCCCGCCGCCCCACCCCAGCCGCCCCCGGCGCCCGCCGCGGCGCACCGGTTCCTGAGGATGCGCTGCTTGGGCGGGGCTCCCGGGCTGGAGGTCCACACGGTCCCTGCCGCCGAGCCGCCCCGCGCCGACTCCCAAAGGAGCGATGGTCGCCCTGATGCTCCGCAGGTGGGGAACGCCCGCGGGATCTGCGGGGATCTGCGAGCCTCTGGGGTCTACCGGGACCTTTGCAGACTTTTCAAAGTCCCTGCCACACGTCCCGGCCCAGCCTCCCCATTTCCCCGAAAGTGCGGGAGGGGGAGCTCCTTTCGTAATAAAAGCCCTGGCCAGCCGCAGCGGTCTGGAGCTGGGGTCCAGGTGATAGGAACAAAAGGGCCCAGCCCTGCCCGCCCGCCTGCCGGGTGATGCGCCCAGGCTGGGCGGCGAGGGGCGCCAGGCAGGGCCTGGTCGCAGGGCCCATCTTGCCTCTCAGGTGGGGGGGTGCTCAGGAGTACGCTGCCACCCTGCGGTCCCGCTGAGGGTCGCCCAAACTGCCAAACTCCCCTTCGAAGCCTCAGAAAGACAGGTGTTTTTTACTGACACCTCTTCACTTTGTTTGGGCTCAGTTCCCAAGGGCAGTTTGGAAAGAAAATCAGTTGACCCCTTAAGGTCACTAACAATGAAGAGTTTTTCTCCTTAATAAGGAATCACTGTTGAGGTCCCTTGGAGCAAGAGGCTGATTCCCACCTCTCTGCTCTGGATGCACAGACAGTGCCTTCTTGTCGCCTGGGTCACCCACTGCTGACAGTGGCACAGTGGAGGCAGGACCTGAGAGCCTGCAGGCTCCTTGTTGGGGACTGCTGGGCTTGGAGTCTACAGCCCTGGAACCTGGGCTGGCCCCACTGATAACACTTCCATGACCTTCAAGGAGCCCCTGGGCCTGTTTGAGACTTGTGTCCCTCAGTAGCCCAATGTTTGGACCTCAGGATTCTTAAGAGCCTGTAGGCAATGGATGGACATGGGGGCAGAGTCAGCAGTAGGGTGCCCTGAGAGGATGGGGGGACCAGGCTGAAAACTTAACCCTCCAAGATTGAAAGTAAGGGGAGTCACCATTAGATAAACAGAGACTGGCATCTTCCCAGCAGTCACCTGCCCAGAATGGCTTCAGGTTGTCACTGATGGCAGTGCTCCTAAAGAGAGCCAGGATCCAGAGGGCACCCTGACACTGTGCGTGTGGGGAAAGTATTCGGTCCTTAATGTTCTGGTGCTTTCTCTACATTATTGCATTCAATCATCACAAACAACGCTAACAGGAAAAATTGATTATCATTTTACAAATGAGGAAATGGAGGATTGGGGAGTTAAAGTGACTTTCCCGAGGCCAGATGGCCAAAAGGCTTCAGCAAAGCCCTGTCTGTCTGCTAGAGCAGGAGGGGAAGGGCAGCCATGGAGACAGCAGGCCCGGGAGGCAGGATGCGGTGTGCAGACTGCCCCACCTCTGTGCGTGCAGAGCAGGGAAAGGACAGGGATGTGAGCCCTGGATGAGGATCAAGGCAAGAGGGAGGGGGAAGAACACAGTAGCCAGAGTTTTATTTAGATGTTTAGGGAACCAAGGTGCTCTTTTGAGTCTCCTTTTCTGATTTCGACCCCCATAAGGGGTACATTTTATGTCGTGACCTTTTACATAAACACATTATATAAGTATAATGGAAAAGAACATTTCATAAAACATCACTCCATGTGATGCACTCTGATATTTTCTATTCTATTCCATTTTAATCATTTTTAATGGCAGTCTCAAATCACTAACTGTATTTCACTAATATTCACTAATGAGTGCAGTTTGCAAAACTAGACAGTGCCACAGAGATACTTTTTTAGATTAATGCTTTCCAAAGGGTTTTTTTTTTTTTTTTTTTTTTGTATTCTGCAGAATATATATGTTATACCTTATAAAAACTTAAACGGCAGGGGTTCTGTGGGTCAAGTTTGGAGAATACAGCACAGTTAAACAGATTGGGGGAGGGGCAGTAGGACTTATCAGAGCCTTCGATGCTAATGTGCACTGAGATTTTGTGAGACAGGAAGAGAGCGCGCAGTGTTTCCCAGGCTGACTGGACGCAGCCCTGCGGACTCACGGAACATTCGTGGGAAAAGCTGCTGCAGGATGTGTCCTGGTCAGGTGAGATGTCACACAAGAACACACAGTCTGAGTTCAACGTGTTGTCATAGGTGAGAACATAAAAGAAAAGAAAAAGAGAAGGGAGAGTCAAACCCTACATTCTGAAGCCAGACTCCCAAGCTCAGCATCATTTTGTTCACCTGATACTCTGCTCAGGTTGGATGCCCAGATGGTGAGTGTAGGAATTCCATTTGTGAATGAACAACTGCCGCTTGGCTTATACGCCAGATAGAATGTGAGCAGTCAGTACTACAGGAATGGCCACAGCTGGGGATGCAGGTAAAACTGAGCTCTGGTCCTATCGAGCTGAGGACGCACCCTGGACATACAATGACTCCACCAAGGGAGGACCTACCCTTCACAGAATGCTGCCTAGAAAAATCTACTTCCCTTTATTTACTAACTTCTAGTTGACACTGATTCCTTTCAGCTCTGAAGTCATAATTCAGACCACTGGTCCATATTATCTTAGATGTGACAATTTTCTTCCTTGATAACATCCTTCTCCATAGAGCCACACTGTGACTCTGTGACCCAACATATCTACAGTGCTCATAGCCTGGTCATGCCTTTCTTTCTTTCTTTCTTTCTTTCTTTCTTTCTTTCTTTCTTTCTTTCTTTCTTTCTTTCTTTCTTTCTTTCTTTCTTAAGTCAGAGTCTCACTCCGTTGCCTGGGCTAGAGTGTCATGGCGTCAACCTAGCTCACAGCAACCTCAAGCTCCTGGGCTCAAGCCATCCTCCTGCCTCAGTCTCCCAAGTAGTTGGGACTACAGGTATGCGCCACCATGCCTGGCTAATTTTTTTCTATATATTTTTAGTTGTCCAGCTGATTTCTTTCTATTTTTAGTAGAGATGGGGTCTCACTCAGGCTGGTTTCGAACTCTTGACCTTGAGCCATCTGCCTGCCTCGGCCTCCCAGAGTGCTAGGATTACAGGCATGAGCCACTGCACCCAGCTTCATCCCCTTTCTTATTCCCTGTCTCTCTGCTCCCTCACTCTCCATGCATGCAGGGGACACTTTTACCAGTCACCTGTAACGCAAGTGTTTGCTGCTAAATGTCAAGAAAAGAGGTACCATCACATTAGAAAGTTGCCTAGCAGTATCGAACAAATATACAGGTGCCCTGTGACCCAGGAAATCCACTCCTAGACCCATGCCCAAGAGAAACGGCTACACATGTTCAGGAAAGCTATCTATTAGAATGTTCCCAGCAACATTATTCATGGAGTCTCCAAACAGAAACAACCTTGCTACTAGCTCCGGCCAGCGAGATGGGAGTGGGAGTGACGTCACTTCCGGGTGGAGGCAGTAAGGGCCCACGCACGGTGGGCCACCCGCCTGCTCCTACGCACCTGTGGAGGTGGAGGCCTCATCGGCCTGTGTCTCTGGGTGAATACGATGAGCATAGACCCCAGGAACCCTTGCTGCATACGAGGGTGAATGAGAAAGAAATGGGTCACGTTCAAGCATTAAGATTTGGGAATTGTTTGTCACTATAGCATAACCTAGCCCACCCCGATCATAAGGATTAAATTATTTTTGAGAAGAGTCCCTCAAGAAGAGTCCCTCAAGAATCCCTAAATCAGATTCTGTCACTCCCCCTGCTCAGAGAGCTCCCAGAGGCTTCACATCTCCTTCAGAGTGACGCAACTCCCCCTGCTCAGAGAGCTCCCAGAGGCTTCACATCTCCTTCAGAGTGACGCACAGGGACCTGCCAGGCCCTCTGTGCTCTGGCCCTCACTGCCTTTCCAGCACCGTCACTGCACTCTGTCTCCCACTCACCGTGCTCCAGGACACGGTTGCCTCCTCCCTGTTCCCTGCACACTCCGGGCACGACCCCACCCCAGGACCTTGCCTTGGCGCCTGTCATCCCCCCCCCCCCCCCGGAGAGCCCTAGATAGCCCCACTGTTTGCCCCTCGTCTCCTTCAGGTCTTTGCCCGAGTGGTCCCTGGTCACACCGAAGCCTTTCCCTACCACGCTCTGTGCGGTCGCACGCCCCGCCCTCCTCACCTCCACCTTTTGGTTTTTCTTTTCTGAACTAGGCCACTCCTTGGAAGCTAATGTTAAAGGGTTTTAAATTTGATAACCAATAACCCTCTCCCTTCTATTAATAGGAAGCAGCACTTCATGTGTTATCACCTCCAGAACTTCGGCTGACGGGTTGCTGGCTGCCCCCAGGTTTGCGGTGTGGCCTCTGTCTACACTGTGGACCCGTAAGTAGCAAACGCTCAACCCAGACGGGTGGCTGCTAGAGAGGAGCCTCCCACTTCATTACCAGTGAGTCTGTCTTTACCGTCACCGGTTAGAAGATTTCCAACTTGCTCTAAGGATGCTTCGGGGCCCCTTATCTACTGGCACCCATGGGAGCCAGCCGTGCTCTCGCAGCGGGGGCCCTGGGTGAGTTGGGACTGACGGAGGCCCAGTCACCTAAGGCTCTGCATTGGCCTCAGCCCTGGGAGCTGTGGGGCTCCAGGAGGAGTGAGACCCCCTCCCTGCTGTCCAGGAGTTCACATCCTGCTAGAAACCAGAGCTGTGGGAGGCAGAGAGCGCTGGTGCCCACTGAGAGGGTGGCGGGCAGCCTTCCAGCTGGACAAGGTGGCCTTGGGCCTGAAGGGTGGACGCAGCTGGGCTCTGCGGAGCAGGCTGGGGGGATGCGGCAGAGGGAGCACAGGAAGGCCTGCAGCCTGGGGAGGTTTTGGGGTGGTTTGGGGGACCCTCTAGGGGAAATCTGGGCAGGCTGGGTCCTGGGGGCCTTCACTACCCGGGCTGTGTGAGTTCACGTTTTGGTCATGTGGACTCGTTCTGATCAAATGACAAGAAAACAAAATGGATCCTTCTCTCTTTGCTGCAAGATTAATTAACCAAATTCTTGAACAAAGAAGAGATTGTGGCTACGGCAGAAGCCAAAATCCACAAAATCCGCAGCCCAGCAAGCCTGGACAATGAATTTAGGTCTCTGGGCTGCTGTTGGGAGGAGCAGCTTATTCAGTGTAAGAACACTGGTCGGCAAAGGCTGATCCCCCTAGGCTCAGACCCAGCTCTGCCACATTCCAGCAAGGCATTTAGGCTTTGAGCCTCAGTGTTCTCACCTGTGAAATGGGTAACATTGTGCCCTGGCACACAGTGGGCGCTCAATCAACTGCGTTGGCTGCCTCCCCAGATAGCAGTTGGTGTCCCTTACAGGATCGTGACCCGTCATGTCCACCCACCCAGACCAGCTTCCAGGAGGCCACAGGCTCCAAAGTGATTGTCGCTTTGGGAGACAGAAGCTCTAACCTGTTTAACGAGGTACAGAATGAGAGGGCTCGAGTGGTCTTTAGAGAACCCTGTGAGGCTCCAGAGAGCAGGGAGGTAGGTGGCTTCTTGTGCCCCTCTTAGGGGGCTTATCCACTTTTCTGATTCAAACTCACACCAGCTCCTGAGGAAGGATTTAACCCACCTCCTCCATGCCCTTCAACCTTTTAGAAATCTGAGTCCTCCGCAAGCTCAAACAGGAACAGGAATCGTCATAAAAGAGCCCAGCTCCCGAAATGGCCTCTTTCTGAACTGGAAATGCAATTTCAGCCCTAGGTCACCATAGCAAAGAAAGTTGCAATTTACCATCATTAATCCTAGAAACTAATTACTTAGCAGAACTAGTTGCTGATTTCGACTTTTATTATAATTCCTCTCCCAAGTCGTGCATAGCACTTTCAACCCCATCTCCATCCCGTGACAGCCCTGGACAGGAACTGCCAGAAATAAGTAAGTCAATACAGGCTGCTTTTTAAAAACCACTGACCTGCTAGAATTAAATACCACTATCCTCGTTCTGACAAATGGCGCAGCTTTATGGTTTCATGGGAACCTCTCCTTTCCTGCCTCAGGGCACGTGGACAGCACTCTGCTGTTGCTGAAATGGCACTCACTGTATTAGGGGAGAACCGGTGCCCTCCTAATGTGCAGAGTCCATGTGCCTTTGGCCCCTGCTGACAGGGACAGGAGGACACGCATTAGTGGCCTGGCCTGTCTGCCGTGCCCCTGGATGCAACGCTCTAGAACAAACACTGAAATTCTGATCTGAAACTCCCCACGATTCAGAATGACCCTCTCTTCTGTGTAATTTATCCCTGGCTTTTATCAACTGTGGCTCCATCTCCAAGCTCTGGGCCGCCCTGGGACCCTGCATGGAAGGCACGTGGGCGCAGGGGGCATTCTCAGCCCAGGCAGCCTCGTGGGGCCTGCTCTCGTTCTGGAGTTTGGGGTCTCCTGGGACTGGGCATGGTGGCCCACAAGCCTGGCCACACCATCTCCCTCCCTCCCTCCCTCTCTAGGTGAGTGCTCCCGGCCCAGATGGAAGTCAGGAAGACCTTGCACCCCGAGTCCCCCCTCAGCTGCCGGTGGCAGTCCCAGCGAGCCGTCTCCGATTTCCCAGCACGTGACATTTTCAGCCCAGAGCCAGGCTCTGATGCTGCTCTGGGTAAGTTTGCCAGGGTTTGAAAGTGAAATGGACTTGCAGAGAGTCTGCGCCTTGTGGACATCTCGGGTTTGCTGCGCGTTCAGCTCACAGCAGCCATCTGTCCAATGCAGCAGAGGTTTTCCAGAGCCCAGCCCAGGGCTTGATACCAGGGCCCTGGCCTGTGCAGCTCCAAGTGGCCTCCAGGAGGGGTTGGCCTTCCTGAGCCGGGGCATGGCTGTTCTCAGCACCACCTGCACACATCAGAGTTCAGAGTGGAAAGCCCCAGGTCTGAGCCTTCCTCTGCTGTTCCTGCCGTTCTGCCTGTGGGTGTTGAGTCTGCTCCCCTCCAAGCCCCCTAAAATGTGGATGATGGGGCCTAGCTCTGCATGCATTTAGCAAATGAGGGGTGGCCAAAGTGTCCTTAGCAAATAGTCGAGGGTTGTACCGCGGGCAGGAGCATAATTGCAGCATGGCCGGGAGACCAGTGTGGTGGAGCTGAGGCCGCACCGTGGGCTGCTGTCGGGGCCCAGGAGATGTGTCCTGTGGGCACACTCAGTGCTGGGCCTGAGCTCAGGGCCTGGCACACAGTGGGCCTTCAGTTGGTGGTCCTGCTGCCCTAGTCCATCCCTAAATCTGCCCCACAGGGGCAATGTTATCCCTGTGGACCAAGAGAAACCGAGGACCAGCAAGGACGCCGATGCGCTGGTGTGGCCGTGGAAGGGACTCCACCCTGGCACCCAGGTTCCAGGTGTGCAGGGCTTCCCAGGCCCTGCCCAACAGTGCTCATCCAACTCCAGGCCAAGGAGGCCAGGACAGGAGCCAAAACAGTTCTAGTCCGTGCCTTCGTGGAACCTCTCGCTGCGCCTGGGGTGGAGCCATCCCGAGTCAGCCCTGCTCGACCTGCAGCCCAGTGTTGGGTCGTGGTGTCGTCATTTACTGTCCCTCATGCTGGGCCAGGCTGGCTGGGTCCAGAGATGCAGAGCTGGCCCTGACCCACTTCTTACTGCCCAGCACTGTCACTTAATGGAGGATCATAATGTCAGCTCTGCTGTAGCATCACCCTGACACCAACCAGAATTTAAAGAAAAAGAAATTGAATATTTCAAGTATAGACATTATGAGGTCTTTAGAAACCTAAAGTTTTTACAGATTTTCAAACAATAAATGGAAAGGTCCCTGAAGCCTTTTACAGGTTTCAATTTCTAATACACTAAATATCAATCCCTATAACCATGTGAACAAAAAACACTTGTTGTCTTTAAAGAGGAAAATGTTCTTGCGACCAAAAAAGGAAAAAAACCTACTGTGGCTTATGCCCAGCTGTGATTGGCCCATTGCTTCCTCTGACCTCATAAGGCGCCATTGTTACCCAGCTAGTAGCACCTGTATGAGCCCGTGGCTGGGCCTAGGATTTCGTCCTTACTGCCCAGGAAGCCGCTGTTTGGTGACCTGTGGAGTTTGGCTGTAGCGAGACTGCTTTTTCCTTATTGATTAGCATTGTTAGTGTAGCTAGTATAGTTAGCATTGCTTGTTAGTTGTGTTAGCAGAGGATAGTTAGTACTGTTTGTTAGTGTTGTTACCAAACTATAGTTAGCATTGTTTGTTATTAGTGTTAGCATACCACAGCTAATATTGATTTTTATTAGTGTAAGGAGAGTATACTCAGTATTGTTTCTTTGTAGTGTTAGCATTGTTGGGCTATTTAGATTATTTATTAGTATTACTAAAGTAGTTCATAAAGTTAGTATGGTTAGTATTGTCAGAGTAGTATAGCTAGTACTCTTAGCCTAGTTAGCATAGTTGGTAGTGTTCATTAGTTAGTTAGCATAGTTGGGGTAGAGTTAGCATATATGGTTGGAGGTGACCATAGAGCAGGTCGTGGCCTCCAATTCATCCACTGAGGTGCTTAACAATTATAAGATCCTCAAGACGATTGGCTCGGGCACCATTGGCAAGGTGAGGCGGACCCAGCACTTTCCTACCGGGACCCAGGTGGCCATCAAAATCATGTCCAAGCGGACCATCCCCAGCCTGGAAAGTGTGGCTATGGAGGTCAAAGCCGCTAGGGCCCTGAATCATCTGAATATCTGAACATCCTTAAGCTTCTGGATGTCACTGGGAATGAAGACATGCTCTGTTTAGTAACAGAGTACGCAGAGTGGTAGGGACCTTTCCCGGCATATAGTGAGACACCATGGCCTGAAGGAGGAGAAGGCCCAAGCCAAATCCCCACAGACCCTGGCTGCCGTGCAGTGCTGCCACGACAACCACATCGTCCACGGGGACCTGAAGCCCCAACATTCTACTTGATGAGAAGGAGAACATCACAATAGCTTACTTTGGCTTTGCCATGACACTTAGTGAGGGGAAGAAGCTGGACACCTTCTGCTGTGGGACTCCTTGTTTTGTGCCCCAGAAATGTTCCTGGGTGAGGAATACATGGGACAGGAGGTGGACATGTGGAGCCTGGGTGTTGTCCTCTACCCCATGACAGCCCGGAGTCTTCCATTTGATGGTGAAAACTGGGAGGAACTTAAAAGTAACATCACCCGTTAACGTATGAGACATCAGTTTTGTGAAGAATTGAAAACATTTTTGAAGAAGGCCCTGACCGTTGACATCCAAGAGAGGCCACCCTTCCTGAAATTATGAGGGACATTTGGATCAAAGAGTAAGAGATGCCACAGGTGACCGGGAAAGCCATAGTGACTGCCAGTCCTCTACCCAGCCTGCAGAAGAGTCCCGATCCCAGCACAGCCCCCCAGCATGGCCCCATGGCCTCCCTTCCACCCATGGCACCAGCAGCCATGGGGAAGGGCAAGGAGGAGACACCCCTTCCCAGGACACCTCCAGGGAAGCCAACTGTCAGGCTGAGAAGTCAGACAGGACGACCTTGACCTTTCCCTCTGTGGAGGGTCAGGGCCAGGAGGGGCTCACTAGGAGACTTCCCAACTTTATATTAACAATGTGTTGTATCTGCCAGCCCAAAAGATCTGCTGCAGACAGGTAAACAAAGTGTTGCCAGGTAACATGGACAGCTGAAGCAGCAAGAGCAAGTATGTGGGGTGGTCCAGCCATGCTTCCTGCGTCTATTTTATTTTTCGTGGTTTTACTGATATTAGTTGTAATAGCCGAGTCATAATTGCGTATATAGATATATGGGGTACAATGTTAAGTTTATATACGTGTGCACTACATGGAATGGTAACATAAATGTAATTAACATATCCATCCCCTCAGAAAGGCAAATGCAGCATGATGTCACTTTATGTGATGAATCTGCAAAGGCGACCTCATAGAAGGACAGTAGCTTGATGATGGTGATGACAGACTGGGGCATGGCAGAGGGAGGGCATGGGTATTGGATCACAGGGCACAGAGTTTCAGGCAGACAGGAGGAAGAAGCCCTGACATCTGTGGCACAGCAGGGTGGCAAGTGTCAATGAGAATGTACTGAACATTTCAAAATACCTGAGAGTTCCCTTCAAATGAGTCCTTGCCTTTAGAGTGCAGAGCGAGAAGACCCTGAGCTCCCAGGATCCTGACAACACGGAGTGGGATGTCAGCCAGGCGTGGACTCACAGCTCCGGGTGGGAGCCGGCAAGAAGCAGCCCTCGGCCTTCAGAGACATCCGAGCCACAGTAGAGTGAGCTGAAGCAGGGCCTGGAGCCCTGGGGACAAGAGGGCCCCTCTGCCCCTGCCAGGTCCCCTTTGTTCCCCAGTGTGGATTTTCTTTATGCTGAACAGCCCAGTGAGCAGTCACCCAGTGCTGCTGTCCCTAAACTCCATCCCTGGCTCTCACCCCTTCAGCAATGCCCCCCCCCCTTTTTTTTTTATGTCATCACACATTATGATCCAAATATAGGAGATTCAAATACATTTCAATTATTTTGTGAAGTAACTTTATCTCTAGGGACCCATAGTTCCAATTCTCTGGAAGCTTCCATCCTTCTGAGCTCTGCTGCATTTGAAAGCTCCTCATTAGGTTGGCTGACCTACGTCCCTGGCTCATTTTTACCTCAAGGGCTCAATAGAGCATTATGCTATGGAGATAGAATATTCCAGATTGGTACTGTATTGCCATTGAGGTCTTTCTTGACAAGAGATGGATGTTGAAGGACCATTCAAGCCTCTGTTGTCTTGTTAGTTGACTTTCTGCAGTACACAGAGCAGAAGACACAAGGTGGAACCTGAATTGAATTGCACTGTCCTAGATTCCGAAGTTTCTAATTATGAATCCTTGTTGTGCCAAGCAGGAGAAACAGGTGAGTGGAGAACTGACTGTATTTTAGTCTATTGCTTTATTTTATATTGCTTTAGTACACTGAACAATTATGAATGGCATATTCTCTTTGATTTATTGAGAAGTGGTGTGAACATTCTCTTTTGTCGAGGGTAATAACTAGTTTGTTCAGAAGGAAATCCCTGTGAAATCTTGTATCATTGCTGTCGATTTTTCTGATCACGAAAGAGGCAAAGGGATGATTTAGAGGAGGAGAATCTTTAATTTTGAAAACAATAACTTTTTCTGTTGCTTTGCCTTTGGTTTTAATTTAGTGTTTTTATATGTTTTTAAAAAAGCATGTGCAAACTAATGACATGGAAATCGACAATAGGGCTTCCTTGGGTAAAATGAGAAAGAACTACAATGGATGATGTAATTTACTTATGTTTCCTGTTGAAAATTTTATGGAGCTAGAAAATTGTAACATTTTTCAAGACTAAAAGTGTTGTACTTAAAATCAGGAAAGCTATAGAATGGGACTATCAAAAAGATAAAAGGAGAATTTTCTCAAGTCTTAGTCTGGTTGATTTTGATGCCAGTGCACACTGATTTATGCTGTTTTTAAAAACAGCAACTAAAACCAATAAAATGTGACTTTCTAGACTTTGGATATTGGGCTCTGTAGATTCTTAGGTTCACAGGTCTAAGACTTTAAAAACATGAAAAGGCATGAAAACAAAACAGGAACCATGACATCCAAGTATTTTTTTTAGCTCATTGTTCCTACAGATGCATGATTGATTTGGAGTAGGAGAGTTCTGGCTGTATCCATCATTCATCACATTCATCACAGTGCATATACATTATAGTAAGAACAGTTATAGTAGCAAAAAATTAGTAGACATCTAAATTTTTCCCTGAAGTCAGAATTGAAATATTCTCCTGGTTCCTAACCTCTGCTCTTATTCATGTGTTCATAAGAAAATTGGCAATATTTTACTTCTAACTGACTTGATTTTCACCCTGGGAGGTTATCTGTTGTATTTAAATTTTCCCATGGCAATTTTATTCTGTATGGGAATAGCTCCCTGAAGAACAAACCCTTTACTGTCTTGAAATCAGATTGGGTCTCACTTGTACTATGTACAAATGTGAGCAGGTTGCTTTATCTCTTGTTAGTGAAACAAGGAAATTAATAGCTGCCTTACCTAAGTAAGATAATGCTTGGAAAATGACTATGGAAACTTCCAGAAGTGGCAGGTATTCTTTCTAAGGGTAGCGTTTTAAAACACAGGGAGACAGAAGAAATTACATTGGACTACCTAGTAAATGCCATAGCTTTTGTCAGACAATTTACATATATATATTAATCCTTTAAACCTCTCACATAGGCCTTGCAGTCTTCATTGGTAAACAAGAAAACTGTGATTCAAAGATATAAACTACGACTTGTCAGATGTTCAGCTCTAGTAAATGATGCCACCTGGGCTTGAATTCAACTTTAATCCAAAGCTTATATCTTTTCCAGGACCATGTGCTGTCAAATATTTGTAAAATATTTGATACAAGGTAGATTTCTGTTATGTCCAGTGATCTTGAATACAAATTGGAAGTTAGGTCTTGAGAAATCTTTAAGGAGTGACTTACTGAGCACATCTGTTTTTCACTTAATTGATGGTCATATGATTGGAGTAAGACAATGCCACTAACCCCTGACAATAAATGATTCCATCTGGAGCCACTCAAAAGTAATAGGCAACAATTCATAGTGCCCAAATCTCATGGTTAGACAGAGCTCCTAAAGGCTACCAGCTTTCCTTTTATTCTGGAAACATAGCTGAATCAGTGATGATTTTAGTGTCCTAAAATATTTTCTATGATAGCAAATGCTTGTGTAGTAAGGGGCAGTAACGTTGTTAAGAGGTTAGAAGCACAGTCATGAGAGTGAAACAGAGCTGACTTCAAATCCCAGGTCTACCACTTACCTGTCTGGTGTGTGACTTGAGTGAGTTATATATGTAACCTAAGTAAAACTTAGTTGTTCATCTGCAAAACAAGAGAAATAGCTATACCCACTTTATAAGGCTGCTGTGAGGATTAAAGTAACACATGACTAAGTTAGCCCAGTACCTGGGCTCTTTTTAATGATTAAAAAATGTGAGCTAACATTATAATGTTATAGACTTTGGGTTAATTCATGAGACCTGGGTTACATAGTAATGCCAGATTAGGAAGATGTCATTGGTGAGAAATCTTGTGGCTTATTGTACCTATTACCTACCTGTCCGTCTATCCACTATCATCTATATCCATCTATTTTTTACTAAGCAGATGGAAGATAGAAAGAGGAAATTTTCATTTGACATGTAGACACTTAAAACATGTCATTGTAGTGTCCCTGTACCAAGTACCCGCTGGCTGCTAACCCAGATTACAAAAGTAAAAGGCAAAGTAAGTTATCCTGGCTCAGGTTACTTTGTGTTGCTGTAGCCTTGGGAAGATTCTCAGAACAATATGGACTAAGTTTTCTTTATCCTGAAAAGTACAAACACACATTCTCCTAGAAGGTATATATGGGGCGGGGTATTCAAGTGTTTTTATCGTGTTGAGGGATTAGAGTAGGGGTGAAAAAATGAGAAAAGCTAATTATTAATACTTGGTAGATAATGTTAAATTTTCATTCAAAATGGAAAAACAACTGTGCTACCAGAAAAATCTGTGAAGTAAAACAATGAAACAAGATGTCTCAAGATAATTGGGAATATATTGATGTCAGGTCTGTGCTGAGTGTGAATTTATAGTTAATAATGTGTATTTTAAATTAATTATAGTTTTTTAAACACTCATAGTTTTCATTCATCTCTTGAAGGAGCACTGATGATTTCTGCCAGCTTTTCCCCCTCTGCTTTAGGTCAACTGATTGACAAGTGATTGTTTGGGGCAAGAAACAGGAAATTTGACCAAGTAAAAGTGTGCAAATACTTTTATTTGGGATTACTAATAGAATCCTAATGTATTCCTTTTTATGTTTACACTTGCTTTTGGCTGCCAATATATGTTACCAAGTGCTTTGTAAAGTGAAAAGCAATATGTCAACATTAATTTTTGTACCTTGACTTGTGAAATGTAAAGAAAATCTTCATCATTTGAAAAACATTAATTTCCTAAAATACTAATTTTGTAATTATGGAATGTGGTGATAATTTTTTTATTATGACAGCAATAAAAGCAAAATAGCTTTTTTTTTTTTTTGGAGGACAGAGTCTTGCTTTGTTGCCCAGGCTAGAGTGAGTGCTGTGGCATCAGCCTAGCTCACAGCAACCTCAAACTCCTAGACTCAAGGAATCCTCTGCCTCAGCCTCCCGAGTAGCTGGGACTACAGGCATGCACCACCTGCCGACTAATTTTTTCTATATATATTAGTTGGCCAATTATTTCTTCTATTTATAGTAGAGACGGGGTCTCACTCTTGCTCAGGCTGGTTCGAACTCTGATCTGAACAATCCGCCTGCCTCGGCCTCCCAGAGTGCTAGGATTACAGGCGTGACACACGCCCGGCCTCAAAATACTTTTTAAAAGCATTTTCATGCATTTCACATCAGACATCTCCAGAGGAGTCTTTTAGGGCAAGGGGTTGCATAATCAGCTCTTTACATCATGCAATGAAAAAAAAAAAGAAAAAAAAAAAAAATAGGGAAGAAAAATCTACTGGAAAATGCAGGAGATGAGCCTTGGAGGAGACAGAGGTTGTTAAAATAATCTAGATACCTCAATCTGCAATCCAGAATGTTCTTACTTGAAACATGTCCTGTAGTGCAGTACTTACAAATAATGTCAGGGAGGAAACTATAATGACTTCTTTTTCATGTTGCAGAAAGCAGAAGCCACTGGAGAACAATGGCCAAGAGGCTGACCTAAATGGGTGAATAATAAGATATCATTGATTTCTGTTCTTTTTTTATAAAGAAACATTTCTGGTTTTTTAGTGAGAAAGGTTGTATTCATTAATTACCTGAATTGCCATGTTCTGGTTTGATGAATCTTTGAAAAGGGTTAAGGCAAGTGACAAATATACACTTCTTACCATTAGGCTCCAGGTGTTTACTCTGGACACTTTCCTCTCTGGGTGACTCCTTTTCCTTTCTCTTATCAACATCAAAAGAGTTTCTACTGTTACATCTAATGGGGCAACAATGAGATGACTTGTTTAGTAGGTTGAATGACTAAAGGTAAAGGGTACACTGAAGTCTTGGAAATTGATAAAATTCAGATAAAATGTGTGTGAGACAACTTTATAGTGTTTTCTTCTCCCCACCCCCCATGGCTTTGTTTTGGACACATCTCATTGTTTAGGTGGCTCCTGTTTTCCTTTTCACATTGTCTTTGTTAGGAAGCAAGGGTTTAATTTGCTGGTTTTCTTGCTTCCCTTAGTAATCGCTCTCTGTGTGCTGACATTGGAGACAGTTGCATCCAGGAAAGTGTACTTGGTCCCACAGGATCACACAGATCCTGTATCTATTGAAGCCAAAACTTCAGTGAACTACAATAAAATCTTAAGGCTCTCCCTAACCGACTGAATGGAACCCCTGTTGGGCAAGGGGGTATCCTAAACTAAATTGCCTGCCTGAGAGGGAGCTCAGACATGCCTCATCAAGCCCCCCTCATTTCTTGAAGACATCCTTTGTAACCCATTAACAGGCCTAAGGCTATGCAAGGCACACCTTCAGGTCCCCAGTTTATACAACAAATATATGTCCAATGGCTTGTCGCTGATTAACAGACTTCCTTGCCTTAAAACATTCTAAGTCTTTAGACAAAGGTTCATAGCTTTAAGCACTTACTTGTCAAAGAATCTCTAATTGTACCTATAACCTGTAAGCCCCACTCACCTTTTCAGGCCAAGCTAATATATGCCTTCCTTCCATGTATTGATTTCTGACTTTACCTGTAACTGCCGTCTCCCAAAAGGGTATAAAAAAGTGTAACCCAATCACATCACCTTTTCAGGCCAAGCTAATATATACCTTCCTTCCATGTATTGATTTCTGACTTTACCTGTAACTGCCGTCTCCCAAAAGTGTATAAAAAAGTGTAACCCAATCACAGTCAGTCCACTTGCTCCAGGTTTTTTGGCATGGCTCAGGATCGTGGTCCTCAAATTTGGCTCACAATAATTCCCTCTAAAATTATTTTACAGAGTATGGCTTCTTTTTTGTTGACAAGATTGGTGTCCAGACATGGTTTCAGAGAAGACTCAGGACAACCGAAGGAGTAGCCCGAACTCGGCACTAGGTACTGGCAAGGCCCTTTTTGGCTCTCCAGCTCTGAGCTTCTCCTTTGGTGGAACTGGTGAGTCCTCCTGAGTTCCAGGACCTCCAGATTTTGGTTGATGGTCTTGTTTCACTCTGAGCTGGTTCTTTTCCTATGAATTGGTGTTTGGGATCCCAGTTTAAGAGTTGGAGGTGCATTCTAAAGGGTCTTCTCCATTGTCTTTTCATCTTAAAATGTCTTTGGATTGGCATTTCTGTGCATTTGTGAAAGAGGAAACTTAGCTGCCTTATTTGTAGATAAATGGGAGACTGCGTTTCCCAGCTCTGAAGACAAGGGACATTTTACTCCTCACAGCCGAAAGGCAGCCCTGCCTGACCACGGTCCTGAGTGGGAGTTGCCTGGGGCAATTCCCTGAGGCATGAGTGGCCCTATAGGGAACCCCACAACAAATTAATCCGGGAAACACATACAAGGGCTGATCAGTGTGCATTTTGAACCCCTTCTTAGGTACTAGACTCGCAAAGAGAGAAACTGAGACATGTAAGAGGGTGGGACCAATCGGTGGTGAAATATTGATTAACCCACCCGCAATCAGCACACTGTGATCTATGACAACCAACCCTAAACTATAGTTTCATTGCTTCTTTTAAATAAAAATGGAAAAAAAAAATCTTTAAAAATTTGGAAAGACATGGAGAATGACCCCTTTCAGGAATCCCAGTTGGTTTGTGTTGCCTCTATTTGCAAATATTTTTGTAAATGAAAAGGTGCAAAGGAATGCCA